TTACAAATATCTTATTTTGATCAAAATAAGACAATTCTTTTATTTATTGTAAAAGAATTTTGATTTTTCAATAAAATATTTTATCTTAATTTTTTAACGTTGAAAAGTATAATCTTTAAGCATAGTGTATATAAAAAACAATTATTTAATAATTAATCATTTTCAAATTTGATATAAGTTTCTATACTAGTATATCTTCTATACAAAAATATACTAAAACACGTAACTATAATTGATGCAACTTTATCAAATGATTTAACTTATCAATAAAATATTCATTAATATGTTTATATTTAATTATTTAATTATTATATTTAATTATTCGTTTATAAGTTTTGTTTACTTCTAAGTTTCAAAGTAAATACTTTCAAATTATTAAATAATTTTATAGAATATCTGTAATGCTAATATGTTTACATTAAATTTGTTTACACTGGGTTAATGAAGCTTGAATATATATATAAAATTAAAAGAATTGGATAATTAACGAATACTGAATTTGACATTCAACATAAGTCATACTAACTAAATTTAAAAATATAAAATATAAAATGTATATATATAAATAGTAAAATATAATTATAAGGTGCTCAAAATAACGTATAAATAATATTCTTCAGTTTTAACAGCAAAATAATAAATAATTATTTATAATTGCATCCGAATATTGAAATGATAATATTTTAAATATTTTTTTTATTAGGTAGTTTATAGAAAGACTAATTTTATACAATAGTTAATAAAATTACTGTTTATATTTTTAGTAAAAAGAAATCTTTCATCTAATATTGATGAATTAAAAATGAAAGATTTAATAATTTATCAATACAAATTAATTGGTACAGCGATTAACTAGTTCATATGCACAAAATTTATGAGTAAATAAATGTTTTTTTTACTTTTTTTTACATTTGTATATCTGGCGTGTAAACTTATATGCAATCTGAACTTTTTATATTATCTATAATGGAACTGTATGATAACTTTGTAGTATGATAATTTATAATAATAAGTTTAGTAAATGATATTGCATTCATTGTAAACTGTTTGAATATACTATATAATGCATTCAATATATTATAAAATAATATCGTTCCATTTGTAAAGTACCTTTTTGTCAAAATAATGTACGTTTAAAGTGGTCATTTTAATTAATTATTATTTATACAATTGATTACAGATTATAAAACTGTTCATTGATTCTTGTATATTATGATACTGAGAATGTACAATTATATAATATTATCTTTTAGTATTTAGGATTTGCATTATATCACATACAATATTGTAGTTACATAATTTAAAGTAATATATCACATGGGAATACAAAATATGTCTTAAATATAAGTGTATTTAAAATTCTGTTATCAGTGTATGTAGGCATTCATACTATTATGTATCTAATAGAATAAATAATATTATTCTGAATAATCTAGTGATATTTTTATAATATTATTAAGTATGGATAATATTACCAATAATACTACTATAGATAATAGTACTGAATATATTCAGAAGTTTGCAAAAAATAAAATGATTTTCAAAATAAAATAATTCAATAAACTATCCTATATACATACTAAATTTATTTCAGTTGCTTGTTTTGTATGTTACATTCTCATTATGTTTGAATCTATCAACTATTAATCATTTGTTAATAAAAAGACTGTACTTTTTAAATATAACTTTTGAATAGAACTTAAATATAACTTTAAATATAACTTTCGAATAGAATCTTTTAGTTATTGCTAATTCCACTAGCGGTTTATATAGTATTCCTATTTTATGTGATTCATTTATCTTCATTTAATATTTACGCTTTAGCTAATTGTAAGTAAAGAGATATTTTTAATAAGATTTCTATTATAGAAATTTGGAGCTCGATATACGTAATTTCAATTGTAAAATACGGTAGAATTAACCGATTTTAGTTGTATAATACAAGGTTAGCAATTTACTTACTTTATATTATTGAAAATTTGTCGTAACATAGTCAAATCTTGTGGCTACATCTCGCTATAAAGATCTATCAGAAACATATTGTAAAATTGAGTACATCCCTAACTATATATATGTTAAACTATATTCAGATATAATTTACAAGCTGCAACGTATTTCCTTTACCAGCAAAAATAAAATGTCGAGACAAATAAACTAAAATAAAGCAGAATATTCTTACTCATAAGGGTTAATTCAACTTCCATCAAATGATGGTAATGCCAAAAGATTCTCGTAGTGAGTATATAAATATTAATACAACCATATTTACTTATTTGTTAAAAATCTTTATCTTCTAACAAAATTATTTATATATGGACATTGAAAAAAGTTATTTTTTATTTTTTAAAGAAAATTTTTTTGATATTATATTGCACTTATTCAATTAATTTTTTTATTTTCATTCTACATTTTTTATTATAACTCATTTCTTCACTTACATATGAATTGGGACCCCTTCCAATAAAAAAAGAGATGGTGAAATATGTGACCACAAGAATTTAAAGAATATGTTATTTTGTTAAACAATTATATGCATAAGTTTTACATTTTCAACTTATATGGCACATTTTCAATAGAATTAAGTTAATACAAATGTTTTATATTAATTTATTTTTATTAAATGGTTGCATTGTCTTAATATATTCTCTTCGTTGATATACTATTATAAAAAATAACTTTATACTATTATAAAAATAACGTAAATAACTCAACATTATATAGTAATAGAATTTTGCATGTACTTAATATTTTAATAGAAAAAAATATTTTTATAATGCAAGTAATAATCTTTGCAAGATATTTATTTGAAAATAAATTTATCCTTAAATAAAATATCTCTAAACTATATAAACCGATATTGTATGCTGAATAATAAAATAATAAAAATTACATAATTTTATCATTAAGAATTTATAATCAATATAAAGGTTTGAATCTATTTTTATTATTAATAAATTTTTGTAAAACATTTTATTAATATCGGTTAATATGTGTTTATTAATTACATAATTTGCATATTTATTATATCTTTAGATGTATTATTAAAACTATATTAATAATGATATATTTAATGAATAATATTTATTTTAATAAGAAATTATGATTTAAATTATATCTTAGGTTAGGAATCATAAAGTTATAAATATTTTTTTTTAAACTCAATCTTGTATTAATTAAATGAATTAGAATAAGTGCAAATTACAGGTATAGTATTATAATATAAAATTTTAAGCTTAACTAACAATATTTCTGCTTAAGAAAAGAAAATGAAAATTATAGGTTATAAAAATGTGTTTATACTTTCTTTGTCAGGATTCAAAATTCAGATTATTAAAACGAATTTGTAACTTCAGCAAGCAGTAAGAAAGTGTGGCAATCAAACATAAAATTAATAATGGTTCATAGAATAAGCATGCTTTATAAAATAAACATAAATCATAAAATAAACATAAATTGATCTAATAATTTATTTTAACCAAGTACTGTAAAAAATTATTGGTGTATAAACTTTAATTTGTATTTTTTAATTACATTTTCAAAGTGAGATACGATTGATGATTTAACATATTATATTTGGTAAAATATTATCATTTCCTAAATAATTTGTATTAATTTGTTTAATTAAATTTTATTATTTGAATTTCAACATACTATATTATATAAAAAAATTAATGATAATATAAGATAATTGAAAATAATTTTATAAAATATATGTATTATTATTTATACGTGCGCTTAATTTATTTGTAATTAAATATATATTAAATATGACAAAATATTTAACAAATTTATCCATACAAAATGCGATAAAAATGTTACCTTTTTTTAATATTTAAAGTTGGTTTCGTTTCCGTATTGCATATTATATAAATCTTGCAACAAAAGATTTTCTATAACATACTAGTTCCATATTTATCAATGTACGAGTTCTGTTTAATTTTCAATATTAATCAATTAGAAGAAATGTTCAAATTAATCTTATTACATCTAATTTATTATCTTATCTATTACAATTATCATAATATATACAGAATAAAAATTATCTAAAATTGAGAATAAAATTAGACAGTTAATACGACAACGCAGTTATAGTTAAATATGACAATCATATTTATTTCATTGCATTAAATGTAGTCTTATATATTAATATTTTTAATATAAAATTAATATATTAGATGTCATAAGTGATGGAAAATCTATGTACATACGATTTTTGAAGCACCCTCGTTTGCTATTAGTCCCTAGTAAAAAGGAAAATATCTAAGAAATATGACCTAATATAGACAAGTCACTTGACCTCGTAGAAGAAACTTGTATTCAACTCTCACACTCTCTGATTAGTTTTCTCATTTTCTCATTAGCTATGATATTAACACCATCACTTTATTATAAAGTATAATTTAGTATTACTCATGTATCAGAATTTTGCAAAATGCTTTTCTAGAAAATAAATGGATATATGCTACAATAGATGAAGAAAAGTGACAAAAAAAAAAAAAAACGGTGGACGAAAATCTTAATCGATCCATACAGAAGTGAAGTTCCTCGAAAAGTCATTTCATAGATTGCGCGAGTTTATTAAATGAGAATACGGGAGAGCGTTACTTCCTAATCTCTTCTTTTTATTTTTTCTTTAGGATGGCAAAATATTCGATAAAATCGATAAGAAAGTATCGCGATACGAATAGATAGTGTGAGAAGTAGTGCAAAAGCGGGACAGACAGACAGGTAGATAGATAAGTCGTTGGAGAAAAGAAGTCTGTTGGAAGAGATAGGCATTTGGATATGAGAAAAGCGTTGACTCGGCGCGTCCCCGAGGTCACACGTCGTAGCGATGAAGCCGCGTAACTCTCAACGCGGATAACACGCCAACTATCCCGGAAAGCAGTAGCCTCGTATCGCCGAAGCACCGTAACCCAATGTTTCGACGCGAAAAGTCGAGTGAAAAGAGTCCCCGTTAAGCCAGGCTGCCTGACGGGCCCTCTGCCTTTACTACTCACGAGTATGTTTTCTATTTGGATGCTCCTCCAAGGGTACGAATTTGCCGTCCTCGCAGTGGCTCGGCACGATGCACAGTAGGCAGTAGGTAAGGGTAGACGAGATAGGCGCGTTAAATCCTCCGCCCCTAATCGTCCGTAGTAGCAGCGGCAGCGACAGCGGCAGCGGCAGCGACAGCGACAGGAGCAGCAGAAGCAACGTTTATGGCACTTTGGCGCAGTCTTCGGCTCGTCTCACGCACTCGTGCCCATCAATTGGGCATCGCCTTCCTCGAACCAATTCTTCCGTATCACGGGCCCACTTGTGGCCCAGCTCCTCGCACCCCGACGACCAATGCGACTCGCACGCACACGCACGAGAGCTGACTCGGTATCGCGACGTCCCGCAGCTCTCGGCTCGGCTCCACTGCCAGTTTCTTGCTCGGTGGAACGCGTGCGCGCGCGGCCTAGAGGTACGGGCGCGGGTAGCTCTCCGTTTCCGCTCTCTTCGGGAAAATCTATCGGGGGGATGGCTGACTGCCTCGGCCGTGAGCGAGTCCGTCTCTATCAGGGAGATCGAGTGGTCGCGTAAGAGCGAACGAGACGACGGTAGTCGCCCCTTTGGCGGGGAAGCGAGAGTGCGCCTGACCGGATTCCAAGAGTAATATGGCCGCCCAGCGAATCGATAAGGTACGTTGTTGAGCGCCTCGCGGCCCCTCCCCCAGGTCCTCGTCGCGGCTGTTGGAAGCGCCATCGCCCGGCTAAAAGACAGGAGCTGAACCCGTGCGGGCGTGCACCAGCTCCCGAGGCTCGACTTCTACGGGCTCTTAAGGGGCGGCAACAGCTTCCTATCAACATCGCGGTCGCTCCATGATCCTTCATGCCCTTCTGCCCTCGGCGCCTGTTCTTCGACATTTCTCGCGAGGAAGGCGCGTTCTGAGCATCGACCATCGTCGAGGAGCTTTGCCTGACTATGGCCGGACTCGAAATGCGCACCCTTAGTTGAGCCACTACTACTTCTTGCTTATCGAGCGAGAGATTACTCTTAAGGTTAATAGGTAAACTTGCAATATGCTTTTACGTCTCTCGTACCAGCACGACGCACTCTACTTCGAAGATTCTTACTTCCTCAATAATGTCTACCGAGTTCGTAGCCTACTTCCTTAATCGTTCAACATTCTGGCAATAATTGATGAAAATATTTTTAATTCACCTATAAGCCTATATAACGTCTCATACCTATATCTGACAATTACATTAGCAAAGTTATTGTTTTAACCCGAAAGAATTATCATTGAATTTGCTGATTCTTTGTATAATTCAGTTCAGACATTTCTTTAAAAATAATATTAAAATTATTTTTTAAGGAGATCGCCATATTTTAGATAAATAAAAACTAAAAAATATAAATATCTTTAATGAATTTATTATTTATTTAATTGTGATATTTAGATTGATCTAGGCCGATCTTATCTTCTTATTAAATGTTATTATACTTTTATGCAGAGGTTATTCCTAACGTTTAACGTCGACATGTAATTTGACTAATCAATATTTCATCATTCAGTGCTCACAATTCCTGGTACATGAGAATGATTTTTATCGTATTATTTCATCGTAATATATTTAAATCTATCGACAGATTATTTTAGTCTGTACCGTTTGACACGGATAGATGTATTTTAATGCATTAAAAACACTTTGTACTTATCGAATCAGTTTTTATGAGAATGGATGTATATAGGTTGGTTTAATAAAAAAAAATTAGAATTTATTTGTAATTTCATACAAAGCATAATCTTATTAGTTTAAAACTGAATAATTATCAATTCCTTATAACTAAAAGTATTAATAAAACTGATATTACAATTTCAAATTGAAATTACTAAGTTGTAAAATTTATTGAAATTATACTTACTTGAATATTTGAAAAGTTTGTTCAAATGTCATGACTTTTTTCATATTTAAAAATTACAGATATTGCCATCTTAATTCTATAAATTTTGTATGATTAATTTAGATTAAATTGCACATAATACATTATAATAAATTATATAAATTAACATCAATACAAATATATATGCGTTGGTAATAAATTACGAAAATACATAAAAAAAATTTATTTAATATTTTTTTTTTAAATGAAACTGGAAACTCACTCATAATCGATATGCAAAATTAGCATTAGATATACTAATAAATTCTTTGTTTTTCATTCTTAATAGAATATAAAATTAAAATTAACACGATTATTTATAAATGAAAATTCACGAACTGTATTATGTAATAATAAATTTTTTTCATAAATAAATATCTAAAACAATTGAAAAATTAATACTGTGTTGATTGTTAACCTAAATTGTAATATGGTATTGTATTAGTGTCTTGTATTTTTAAAATTATTTAACTTAGAGTATTCATTTCTAACGTTATAATAAAATAAATATGTTTGTCATATTTTTTCAGTAGTAGAAATATGAGAGAGGGGGGAGAGGGAGGGCGAGAGAGAAAAGTGGAGATCATTATTAAGGTAGGATGGACGATGGTCTATATTATAAAAAGGGAATGGAGTGGCTGTGAGAAAGAGACGGAAGGACGCAGAACCAGAAAATCGATTAATCGAACGTCGCGCGCGCAGTTGGAAGAGTGGATTTGTTGTCTTCTATCTTTCTCCAGAATACAAGCACAGAGCTCATAGGGGAAAGAACGACTGAAACTTTTACTATCCAGGGCACAACATTTTTGGATACACAATAAATAAGTATAAAAATAAATATATCATGATTTTTATTTTCTGTTATTTCATTTAATATTTTACATTTTTTACAAGCTTACATATCAATTATTTTAAAATATCTTTTTTTTAATGTTATAAAAACTTACAGCATTAATAATTTTCGTATAATTCTTGCAGTATCAGATTCATTTAATTTCTGTATTTACATTGATTTTTCCATTCACTGTCTGCATGTAAGTTATATTACCTTTTCAAAGATTTATATACTATATTTAAAATAAATAAGTTAATCAAATTATAAAAATATTTAATTTCAGAATAAAATAACGCCAACTTTATAGTTTTATAATAAAATTAATTAAAATTAATTTTAAAAAACGCTAAACAATCATGGAAATAAAACCCAATTATTCCTTGACGAATTAAGAAATATAAAATTACGTATATCACTAAAAAATTATGAGATTTATCTTAATAAATAATTTTATTCATCATTCGACTATTTATTTTTAATTAACTATTTCTGTTGCTTCCGATACAAATACTATGTATATATGAAATTTATTTTTAAGGTTGTAATATAGACGTTGATTAGAAAATTTTCCACATTTTTTGGAATATCAGACGTAATTGTTAAAAGATCTATAAAATATTCCAGATGCGGAAGAGTTAACTATCAATGAATTTATAATATAGAAATTTTTAATACTAGCCGATAAGAAATAGTATAATAATATTTAGTATCTGGTAACAGCTTATTTTATTAGATCCATAATGTTAAAAATTGCTCATTCATTGCTCAAAAAACAAAACTAAGTCAATAATGTCATTGATCATAGATTATTAGAATAGTAACAGATTTATTTATGTTTTTTTTTTATTAAACTATCTCCACCGTGGAGATTTTTTATGTAATGAATAAGCTATTTAAAAATGTGTACACAGCCATTTAATTTTGTAAATTTTTTTGTATTTTTGTAAAAAGAGATAATATAAGTTTCAGTAAGAATTATAATTTAAAGTTTAATTCTTTTAAATATAATAGATCTTCTGTATTAAATAAAATATTTGATGTAGATGTAATAATTTATTATACATATACTATATAAATATATATATTACTAAATATATCGTAAAATTTATATCAATCAATTTTTACTATTTTCAGAGCAAAAATTGTCTGTATAATATATATAAAATATAATGAATTATTTTTGAAATTGGAATTTTTAATTAATGAAAAATGACCATATACCAAAAAATTAATTTAGTAGTATTTAAAAATTTTTTTAAATATAATATTTTTATATAACTAGACATACAAGAAACTGTGATATTAAAAGCAATATATGTATATTAAAATTTATACTTTGTTTTCTTTTGAAAAACATTTATAATATATTATTCATACAAAAATTAAAAAAAAAATTAATTAAAAAATTTCTTTAACCTATATGATCGAATAAAAAGTTTAAACTTTAAATACATGAATTGCATATTTAAAAATATATAAATTTTGCAGAATAAATTATTTTATTATAAAATCTTATAAAAGATAGAATATAGTTTAAATTATTGTATTTGTATACACAATTTCAAAATAATTTTGACTGAATTACAATTTTGCAAAATTGCAATGTATTAACAACAATATTTTGTATTCATATAATTAGTATAAATCATTTATGGATAAATTAAACCTTATTGTGTTATTTCCATTATAAAATTGTATAAATTAAATTATCGTCAATACAATATGTAAAAAATAATAAAAGGAAAATGCATCATACAGCTAATTAATTATTAGGTCATTTGATACTATAACTGGAAGATATTTACGATATTAAGGAAATTTAATGTATTAGATTATTTAAAGAAACGTTATAAGTTACGCTATATATATATATATATATATATATATATATATATATATGTCTGTTATTTATACTATATTTATGTCCATATTGTGAGAAACAATTAATCTATAATATACATTAAATGATGCAGTTTAAGTTACCAAAAAGATTGAGTTAATAATTTATAAATTTATTTTTCAATGATAACTGTTTAATAATTAAATAATAATTTTTCGAAACAGTTATTAGCCAATAAAATAGAAAAATTGTTAAACATATGAAAGGCCCTTATTCATTAATATTATCATTATTGAATTTGAAACTAAAAAAAACAACAAAAGAGTATCGAACTGATATAATTGATAGAATATTTAGCGTAAATAATGTAATCATCGTAGCTATAATAATATATCTCAAACACCTAATTGGCAAATCGTTACACAGGAACATTTATGAGTTTATCTAGAAATCAAGCAAACTACTTCAAACTTCTGATAATGATAATATCTTTTATTATTTATATAAATAAACGTTTATTAATATTTATTAATATTTGTCTTTTAAAATAATAAAAGATATTATAAATAAGGATTTATTAATGCATTTAATGGATCGATATTTGGACATGGTTCTATAATTATATAAATAATAATAACCTTTTAATAATTATAACCTTTTAAATTGTAAAATATGCTTAGATAAAACTAAAAAAGTGACAATACAAAATTTAAAAGATATCCTTGGAATAAAATTATTGTTTATTCTAACTTTGTAACTGGAATATGCAAATTTTTTGTAATTATAAAATTACTAATTCCAAAGAAAATGACAATTTTATTAAATAGACGACAATTGTATTAAAATTGTGAAATATACTGCATACTTTGTCATTTGTGTAATATAGTATTTGAAAATATATATTAAATTGATCTTATACTTATACTAATATAAATTCAAAATTGAAAACATGCTTATCCAAGTTACATTAGATCTATTAAATGAATACTTTAGGAATTTATTGATTTTAGAAATTCGTTGATATGTGATAAAAAGGTTTATACCATCGAAATCTTAGTATTTCGTGTAATATTTTCTGTGACGAAGCAAAGCCTATTAAATAATTGGATATAAAAATCATAACTATATATTTAAATTATTTATTAATTAATATGTAAACACCAATTAAACATTTCAATTCATCATTAATTAAATTTATATTGAATTTAATTTATATTTATTTATTTTAATTTATATTAAATTTATATTATTAACGTTTCAAATCAATACTATAATTATGACATTATATTTAATAATAAATAACATCTATCTAATGAAAACTTAATGTAGTTATTAAAAAAAGATTTGTACTGTATATATAACACTAGTTATATTAACTTTTATACTTATTTCTGTGTTAATTAATGATTATGCTTATACTTGAATTTAATAATACAGATTATACAGATTTAAACATTTTTATTTTTAAAAATATAAATTCTATTTTTGCATAGTTTTTATTCCATCAAGATTAATGGATTTTATATGAATTTAAGAATAAAATTAACTAAACTTTTTTCAAAAATTTTCAATTCTACAATATCTAAGTTTAATTAATGCATTAGTTAAGATATCATCATAGCAAATCTCTTTATTATTACAATAGTTTGCTCAAAACTATAATTTAATACCTAAAATGTTTAACATATTATTACAGCGAATAAAATAATTATTATAATCAATGTATTATTTATTTATTATTTCAAGAAGCAGCAATTTTACAAAGTATTTACATTACTAATTCATTTTTAACAAAAAAACTAGAATTTTTGATATATAGATATTTTTATATCCAAAAAATATTGATACTATACTTTTTTCACAAATAAATTTTACAAATAGTTTCGTTTTTCAAAATTATGTTATATTATTAAAGACTATTATGATCGATAAGTATAATTAAAAAAAAAAAGGAAATGGTAATGAATATTTGTTAGTTTGCCTTCAGAGGCTACCAATATCGACCAAATAGAGGAGACAAATTTCATTGAGTTAGTGTTTAATGTCCGATCGGTACTTTTTTAAAGTGAACCTTCACTAATCACAGTGAATAAAGTAAAACTTGTATAGAAAGAAAATAAAAATAACATTGAATACTATTGTTATATGAAATTTATTAAATGGTATGTTATGTATTGTAATATTTATAATTTGAATTAGTGTTTCATATGATATATTTATCAGAGGATGCAGAAGTAAGTGAACTATATTTTAGTGAACTAAATTTTAAAAATGTAGTATAAAATCGATTAATTATGTGTAACATATTTATTTATCAATAACAATAAAAGAATAAACTAAATATTCTATATTCATAATCGAAATATCCGGCAATTTTTATTTTACACTATCATGGTAAAAACAAATTTTACTGTTAATCATAACTTTAACATTGAAAATATATATTTTTCCCAATTTTTTTACAATTATAAATATTAAAATTTACTTTATTGTTATTTCTATAGAATTTTCAATAGTAAGATGTATTCTGAATTTTATGAAAAGTCTCAAAGCCCAAAGAATGACGAATATTTAAACAAAAAAACCTTGTATATATAAGAATTTTTATGTTTACTTATATGTATATAATCAAAGGAAGATGCAAGTTTTATAAATATAAATTCTTCTTGTATATTAATAAATAAATTCTTTCATTTAAAAATAAGCAACACTTGTCTAGGATTGAACGAAATTAGATTTTTATCTATGTTCATAACCTACTCTCATTCAATGTTCCTGACCAATACTGAATAAGTTTCATATTTTTAATACATAATCATAGACTTTAAATTTTATTAATGAAGTTACTTATAAAATATAATACTCTTATTTGATATTTCGCGCTTCTAAAGTAAAATGGAATATCAAAGATTTCATAAAAAATTCTTAATTGCCAAGGAAAAACGATGTCTCAAAATACTAACCGAGTTTTAAGAACAAAATTTCAAAACTTCACAACACAACCGACCAATGACAGCAACAGTGTTAATTTAAACTTGCAATCACCAATTTTAGGCAAAAACTTTAAAACTCCGAATCTATATTTTCCGCTAACGGCTATGACGTTTGATCAAACATTATGTTACGTAAGTTATTTTGAAATAAATATTTTTCTTGCTCTGCTTTGAAAATTTGTATTTAATTCAAATCTAATTAATGAAAATTGTACGATTTAATTTTTAAGAAATAATATTCTATTATTAAATGAATACATTATATTACAAATTATTATAATAAAATGATTATATTAGTTTATTTATTTATGTTCAAAAATTATGTTCAGTAAAATATTACAAAATTTTGATAATTTTAGTATTATATTAAACTATTATCTTAAATTACATTAAATTACATGGAAAAATTATAATATTATAATATTATAATAATAAAAAGATGGTATAAAATGCTACAAATATTTTCTTAAAAAATTAAAAAATATAAAATAATATCTGACCGTATTACATTCTTTAACATAAAATAATGTTAATGTATGACATATTTTGAAAAATAATTGAAGTAATACTGAATCTCGATTAGGTGATCATCATAATAATATGCACTTAAAACACTAATTAAATAAATAATTCTAATCAGTTAAAAAATTTATTAACAATTAAAATAAAGAGGAAGAATCTAACATAATAATAATAATGTGTACTTAACACAGTTTCATATAAATATAATAATTTTGCGAAAAATAATACAGCAATCCGAGAAGGCAAATATGTGTTTTGAAAATGTATTTAGAATAAAGGATAATTAAAAAAATTATTGTATGACTAATCTAATTGTGTAAACTTTATTGCATATATTACTTCTACTGTAAAATAAATTAAAGAAGTATGTTTAACCATATATGAGATTAACGTAATTCTGTAATGAACGTGGTATTATTATAAAACAGTGTCACTAATGTTTTAATAAAAATAAAATGATTCTTCTTTTATATATATTATATATAATATATTATAATTTTCATTGATAATTATTCTATTAAATTTAACTTTACATATATTTTTTATTTTAATTTAATTTTTTCCTATTAATATATTTTACGTGATTAATTTTAATAAACGAATTTTGATAAATGAACTAAAAATAATCTCGCTGAGCAATTACTGAAAGAATATGTGTATTATAAATACTTATTCATAAAATGTTTAAGCATTCTGTTCATAAATATTTTTGTTAACACAATATTAATTCAATGGATCAGAAAAAGTCATTTCAATTGCTTTTATTCAGATGCCGATTTATCGTCATATTATTGTTCCTGAGATCGAACCGATTATTAGACCAACAATACCTCCAATTTTAGCATTGCTTCGAGCAGAATTGTAAGTTTAAAAACAATATTTTTGTCAGATGATAAAAATGAAAATACTTCTTATATAAATAATTATATTTTAATGATAATAATAAAATTGTTTGATTTGTATCACAGTATGCTTTATATCGAATTTCAGAATAGAATTGACAAATGAAATCAGTGAATGATATAACAGTAAAGATTCGAAATGATATATTGTAACACCATCAATTGAAAAATAAAATTCAAATTTAAAGATATGTGTATTGTTGTATTATGATTTCAATAAAAAATAAATATTTTAAACTCACATTATAACAAATATCGTAAATTAATTAGTTAATAAGTAATTAGTTAGTAAGATTATTTACATCACATCTTGAGTTTGCTGTCAAAAGTTTTCTTAATTAACGTTCATTATCAATTCAATGTCCATTAATAATAAAGTCATGTAAGAAAAAAAATCTTCTATTTATTTGGCCTCGACTAGAATACGATTCGAAAAGCCTTTAATTAAAATAATTATGTATATTGTATTTAAACAATACATTTTCATTTCCTGGCAATGAAATAATTATTTATTATTCCAATAATATTCACAAAATATTTTGCGATTATAATTTAATTTCAGAATACGTGCAAGCTCGTTACTTATTATATTATATGGATAAATTTATTTTATACAGTCGTGTGCCCACAGTCCTGATATTTAAATGCATTATCATCGTTTATCCTATTATATTATCTATTTGTATCATTGAATCTCTAGTCTAAATATAGAATATGTGAACGTTAGAACTGGAATATGGAATATGGATCATAGTGAACCGAGTAATAAGGTTAAACACTTCACTAATTAAATAGTTTTTAATACTCATGGAAGATTCCGAAGTACTTTTTCCTACAAGTAACGAAAAATGTGAAATAATCTTAATTAATCAAAGAGTGCATAAGTGTTATTTGAATAGTAATTTCAGTTAAAAATAAATCATCAAATTTCGTGCACAATTTAAATGAAACCGGAAAAATGAGGGATTGCAAAAATTCTACATTAATCTTATTAGTACTTCAAATTTTTTATGGAATTTGCTTTACGCATTTGCTTATAAATGTTAAAAATCAGGTTTGTTATTTTTATATTAATTAGTTTTTATCTATATGATCATATCCAAAATAATATTGCATTCACCGGAAATGTTTGTACACAATTTTTTTTTTGAGGTTAGGGGAAAATTAGTGTAATGCAATTTTTATTTATTCTATTACTAAGTATTAAAATAACAAGTATACGTTAATACAGGTTTGTACTTATTTTAAATAAATATTTAAAAAATTTATTAGCATTGATCATTTACACAATAAAATTATAAAATTTAATAATGACATATAAATGAAAATTAAAATGTTCTGTTATTTAAATTTTCATAAAATATTTATTTTTAGGGAGGAGATATTTTGTTAGAAACTATAACATCCAATATTACAGAAGACTTTATAATCTTAGAATTTCAATGCTCAGATGGGACCTTGGTCACTCAACTCGTTGACTTTAAAAATGTAATTATTGTTTAACTGTTAAATAAATCCACAATGATGTAATATTAAAATTTAGATATGGTATAAATTATAATATTCACAAAAAAAAATTTATAATCTTTATAATTATAACTTATTGTGTTCTTCAACCCTTTACGTTTCATTAATCTTGTAACTTAATTAATATTTACTAGTAATTTAGGAGGTACAAATTATCAAAGCTGTAGTTTTGGGAGAAGAAGAAAGAGGGCAAAATCAATTTCAAACAATGTGTTTTGTCAATCATTTTTATAAAATGGATTTTATATCTACTGATGCTATGTCAAAATTGAGGCAAAAGAATCCTGGCACAATTAGAGTAGCTGAAGAAGATAAAGGTCATACTAATTATACACTAGATTTCTTTTTGGATGTTTCCCATTGTAATGTAATATCTAAGCACATAAATACATTGTGTTCAGAAACAGGAGTATCTACTTATACAAGATATGAAGATATAAAATTGTGGGCTCAAAGACCTGGTAAGTAATTGAAAAATAAATAAAATTTATAATTATCTTCTTAATATTTAACATTGAAATAATTATTCAATTAACAATAAAAAATTGCATTATTTTATAATAATAATAAATTAGTGCATGTAAATTCTATTTTTTTTATAATTTTAGGTTCCTCCGAAGCTGCATTATTACAAACAGTATATAATTTTACTGTTGCCATAAATGATAAAATATCAATTAATAATACTAAATCAAATCTAGTTTCAAAATGTGCAGACACCTCTAACCTTTGGGCTCCTTGTACTTGCTCATTAGAGTTATGCATTGGTTGGTATCCTTGTGGATTGAAATTTTGTAAAAGTAAAGCTGATGTGAAAAAAGTAGCTAATACATATAGATGTGGTATAAAAACGTGTAAAAAATGTTTTATTTTCTCATATTATACCAAAATGAAACAAAATTGTCTTTGGGATGAATGACATTTAACAACATCCTAAAAATAACAACAAGAATTTGTCATATACTTTGTTCTAAGTATTTATACTAAGTTTTAAAATTAGTGAATCCATCATAGTTAATAATTAGTAGATATAAGAAGGCGTAAGAATGAATTTATCATTCACTAAAATTACATTGAAAATTTATAATTCTTTTACTGGTGTTTTTATGAATTAAATTTTATAAAATTTTTAATACAAGTTTAAAGTAAATATAAAATTTAAATATAAATTACGGATTATGTATTGATGTTATGTTAAAATTAAATAAATTACTTCTGAAAAAATAGGTTTTGATGATAAAAGTAAAAAAATTAAAATTCAAAATCCAACTTGAATAAGATTTAAAATACTTTAAAATATAAACGAAAATGTTGATATGAAAGGTTTTTCAAAAGTTTAAAAATTTGTTGAAGAACTATAAATTAATTTTGCTGCTTATTTTAGGTATTAATTTAGTCATTCTTGTATTAAACTGTTTACTTTTTGTTATCTTATATATTATTTCACTGTTGAACTATATGTATTTAATTAAATTTAATTAAATTTATTTAGTTATGTCCATATTTACTTAGAATTAATACTGGTATTAATCGCTAATTTTTCAGTTAATAGCATTACATATAGTTATAAATCTAAAAAATAAGTGTAAATAGCAATATTTATAGACAAATTTAAATAAGTTTCATTACAAATGAAACGTTTTGCATTAGATATATGTGTGTGTGAGCGCCTGAGTGTATGAATTACTTGTAAAAGATTGTCTATATAACTTAAGTTTTCAATGAGAAAAGAGTAATCATAGATATTTAGTTTTTAAAGAAGTTAAAATGAAATTAAAAATATTCAGAATGTTTTATTTAAGAATTTAATAAAGATGTGTGTCTATTATAGAAAAGTTCAGAATCAAAGAATTAGCTTCATTTTATAAATTGTTTATAAATTTCTAAACAATACGTACTTGTAAAAAACCAGTGTAAGACATTTATAATACTCTTATAGGTCATGTAAAAAAATATATATATATAAATATAGATATAAAAAAGAAATATATATATATATATATATTTGCATGCATGTATTTATGAAGCTACCAAATTTTAATGTTAAAACTTAAGGTAAATTCTATTTTAAATATTCATTATGTGTATGTAAATTGAATCACTAATATGCAAATGTAATTGTAGTTAAAAATTATTAAGACTAAATTTTAATGTCAAATAATTTTAAGATTTATTTTATATTTAAAAGTGGTAAACTTTTTAAACAGATTATTTATATAAAATAAAGACTAAATAATGTAATACCATATAAATGACATATGTGTATTTGTAAAATAAAGTATTTTTAAATTCACTCTATATTTATAATCTAATATAGAAACATTGTCAGATTGAGTATAAAATCTCTTAAGAAGGTAGGTAACACTGAAATTAATATTTCTAATATAAAAACAGAGTTGAATGAATGAAAGAAGGTACAAGAAAAATAATTAATAATCACAATAATTGCACAAGTACTGGTTAAGAAAAAAATTTGTTAGTACTCTTACAGTCTTTTGAAATAATACAAAATTAATATAAATGAATTCCTTTATTTTCAAATTTTGTTTAAGATGTGTGAATAATATGCATTCCATGAAAATTTTTGTTACGTTTATATTTTTGCAAATATTCGTGAACAATATAATAAAATATTGCTGCGATCAAGATGAATTAAGAACTGTCTTGAGAAAATAATTCTATTTTGAAAAATATTTATTGATTAAATTAATTTCACATAAATTATAAATGTTGGTTGAAATTTTGTGACTGTATATTTCAAAAGAATTAATTATTACGTTAATATAAGAAGTGGAGAAGACAAAGTTTTAACTATTTCTCTATATAAAATTCGTTCAACATGACACACACATATATATATATATATATGTATCCTTTACATATAATAATACTGCAATTTATATACTATTTTTTATAAATATTTAATAAAAATATTTAACATGTACAGTAAAGACTTTTTGCTAATTAAAAAAGTTCTTAAATAATAGCAAAAGACGTTCTTGAAAATATTATTTATTTATAAGATACATCCAAAATTTTATATGCACATCTCATGTCCTGAAAAATAATTATCTAATTCTCGCTTATAATTTCGTGTGGTTATTGTCTTAAGTACTATACGTCTAAAGAGGCACCGAAGCAGGCATCAGTTTTCTCTACTATACACAAAAATAACCACAACCACGCATACACACGCATGCACACCCGCGCGCGTAAAAACATATACGGCTACATGCATGCGCGTGTATGTATGTGCATGGCGCGTATGTATTTTTATAGAAAGGCAGAGAGAGAATTAATATTTCAAGAGCCTCTCGATCCTATATCTGCGAGTCTCTTAAATCGTTATTTATATACAAACTTAGGCATTGTGATGAATTTTTTTATTTATTACTTAAGGACTAACAATTTCATTTAAACTCGATAAGTACATTTTTAAAGACCGATTCGAGTTCTTTTCGATATTTTGTATTTATACGTAATACTCTATTTTTATTCTTTCTTATTATTTTAATTTATCCTTGTAAGAATCGTATTCTTGTTTTGATAAATAAAAAATATTATAGAAAAGAAAACTTACTGTCTTCTAAAAACTTGTGTATGTTCTGTATGCACGTAAATAATAATTCTTTTAAATATAAACTATGTATGTCTGCCCGCGACGCAAGCTAGACAAAATCATCGCTTTATTCGTTTAATAAACGAATTCGCACCTTTTGTATAAGTACAATATTTCCTTTTTTTGATTAAAAATTCTCGAGAAAGATTAAATTAATCTATTCAAGTCGATAAGTATCTCGTACAAAAAAAAATAGCATAAGAATTTACATCACTAAGCACCAAAGAGATCCATTGGAGTCAAAACTGGGAATAATCACAATTATCGAAGTCGCATACGCTCACATGATGACACATATTTGACAGATGCACACGCACACGCTCGCGCGTACACAAATGTGGGAAACATCGTATAAGCAGAAATATATCAAAATCTCACAAATTGTCTGTTCACCAGGCTTTAAAAAAGGACCTTTATTTGAACTTTGCAAAAGTTGGAGAAGAAACTTATTTGTTCACTTCGTCACTGTTTAACATTTAGATAAATTAATTAATGCTCATTTATATAAGCGTATATACGGAAATATTATTCATTACATTCGTATAATTATTTTTACAATATTTTTCAAAATTTAAGTACAATAGTATTTTATCAACTTTCTCTTCCTATACAAATTTTCAATGAATAATATGTCAACATCCAATAAATCGTTTTTCGAATTATAAATAAATTACTTAAAAATGTAATCGAACAAACTTTAACTGATTAAATGGAAATACTTTAAATTTACAAATTAAATAATCTGTTTCCTATCTGCAATGATTTTGTAGAGTTTCGATTAGTGATGCCGAAGCAAAAAAGAAAAATACTTTTAATAATTAAATCTTCTACGGATCATAAAAATTAAAAATTTAACGTTTATAAGGCAATTTTTTGTCGGATCTGCATATTATCGTGCAACTATTTATTACAAACCAACAATTTTATCGCCTCTTATGTACATTTAAAATTTTCAAAATCTTCAGCAATATTCCATCATAATTGAAAAACTAATGTAATTCGATAAGCATATAAATTCACAAATATCTAACTTAAAATTGCTCTACGCATCATCGATGCCAGTTCAGAATGACACCGTGGAAGGCCAGAATGAGGCACAACGCCACAATCAATACTCCCATATCATCAATTATTTAACGCGAAAGGAAAATAGTAATAATAAGTGCAATAATAACATTAGCTACTGTAGCACGTCTTGCGCACGTCCGCCAGTATAACGCTGAAATCGTCATCGGTAGCTTTGGGCACGTGTTCCATATTCTGACCTTGGACCGTTTGGTGCTGCTGCTGCTGCTGTTGTTGTTGTTGTTGTTGTTGCTGCTGCTGCTGCTGCTGTTGTTGTTGTTGCTGCTGCTGCTGTTGCTGAACGTGTTGTTGTTGTTGATGCTCTTGATATTTGGAAGCTTCGAGGCTCTGGTGGTACTGTTCGATGGTATGGCCCATTCCCATCTGTGCACACTGATTGGCTTGGTGATCCTTAGCCGCTTGCTCATCGAGGATACATTGAGCGTTGGCCATGTCTAGCTGGTGTTGTTGCTGCTGTTGTTGTTGCTGCTGCTGGGCGTGTTGTTGCTGCTGCTGCGGTGTGTAATATCGCAGGTCACTTGCGTAGTTGTGATTGCTGTCGAGGAGATTTTGCGGGGCGAGGCTCGAGTGTCCGCCACCGCCGCCACCGCCGCCCCCGCCACCACCGGCACTAAGGCTCGACGGGTGAGCGTACTTGTTGAAGTATTTTTCTAATTGCATCACATGCTCTTGATCCTCGTCGTGCATTACCGATGGAGGCTCCAAATGTCCGAGTGGAACTTGTTGCTGTTGCTGTTGTTGCTGCTGATTAGCCGTATTGTCTGGTGGATAGTCCGGATGGTGAGGGATCTGGTAGCGATGGGACACTCCTGTTTTTTTTTTTTTTTTGAAATAATACGTCACTTTAATGTTTAGCTTACGACTAATTAAACTTTAATGGTAAATACATTATGAATTAAAATAATTGATTAAAGTATGCTTAATATTATATTTTGCGAACATGGTAAATTAATTATATATATATTATTAATTTTTTTCCGAAAATTTTCATACTAATTCTTCGTGAAAGTATGTTTGTTTTAATACAATAGTTACAATCACGAACGATAATAATACCGACATTTTGCACGCTCCCTTCCAATGTAATATTAACGATATCACGTATTTTTAAAATTGTTTAAATTTTTACTTCTATTTGTTATTCTTATGTAATAATTTTATCGACGCATAATATCATTGAAATCCTAAAATATGGCTTTATTATATAATTTTGTGATTTGAAAAGATAAAAAGTGTCGTTTCTCTTTTTCGTAAGAAATATTGTGTTTCCAAACTGATAATATCGCTGGGATGTATAATTAACATAAATATAAAATAGTTTGCTATATATTTTTGTAATTACAAATTTATAGTCATTAGAATACTCCACAGCTTGTTTTTTTCTTCAATTTTATATGTTTATCCATCAATATAAATACGAAAATATAAAAAAAAAAAACTACTGAAATAAACGCAGCTGGGCTGCACTTGTTAAAGTGTTAATTGCCTTAAATTAATTATTTAATTAAAAGCTATAAAAGTGGGAAGAAAGTTAGTGGGACTGTTAATTTATGTGTACTATCAGTAAAAAATCCTTGTAACCGTCAAGTAAAAAGAAAATCTTATGAAGTGCGCATTAATTGTCAGACAGTGAAAAATGAGCCGCGAACGAACAAATTAATTACCGTCGTGATCATAACAAAGTACATGCGACTGACCGGGGCAGCCCTCGGCGGGACGTAGTCCCATGTTCTGTTGCTGTTGCTGTTGTTGCTGTCTATTCGCGCATTGCACACCACCGTATCCGCTGTCCTGTACTTGTTGCTGTTGTTGCTGCTGCTGTTGCTGCTGTTGCTGCTGTTGTTGTTGCTGCTGCTGCTGCTGCTGCTGCTGTTGCTGTTGCTGTATCGCTCCGTAGGTCTTGGGTTGCTGGGCTTGGGCTTGGGGTGAGTAGTGGAGGGACTGGTCGTGGGGCGAAGCCACCGGTGGATAGAAGGTGCCGGTAACACTGCCAACGTTGTCGAAACCGGATCGCAACTTGTTGCACGACACCATCATACCGTTAGCGATGCCCACCGCGATGCTCGTCGACTGCTGCCGCTCGAAGTTCAAATAACTCACCTATAATGCGGTGCAGATAAGAAACTGCGAAGATGCTAATTATACGTCGATCGTGGCACCAAATGCTATTAATTATATAGTAATTATATGCCTGTACGTGAGCGCACCATTCGCGACTATGTGCGTAGGCAAGATGAGGGCACACGTGAAATTGCACAAAAATATGGAATGTAAGTCTCAAAATGCCACGGTTTCGTCCGGCTTACTTAAGAAAAAAGTATTTCGATAAAAAAAAAAACTGACCTGCGAAATAAATTGTCTATAATAATATTTTTTACGAAATTGTACGTACGATTACCCGTTTATTAATTTATGTAAATTAAGCAGTTAATCATAATTAATGATTAAATAATGACATGACGCGAGTTAAAATTAAGGCAATAATCAATGGCATTATAATTCAAGGGCGCTAGGACAATAAATTGGGAAGAAAAACGTTTTCTCAATTCTCATTTAAGTAATGGTATCCCGATACAATCGTGATTTCGCGTTTTATAATGCTTACGCATTTATTGAGGAGGGCAATTGCAAGGGAGCGACCAGTTAAAAAGTCCAGCTCGTGAGTAATCTCTCTTAAGAGGCATCTATTCGACCATAAAATTAAACGACATCGAGTGTTATTGAATTTTTGCCATTGTATCGAGCCGCTCGATCGCAATGCTATACCTTCTTGTATGTAAGAGTATCGGTGTATCCGCCTCCAGTATTGGCGCAGGAAGATATGCTCGGGCCACCGACGTGCAGCTGACTGTCGCTATTCATGTAGGAGTAGCGCTTGTTCTGATCCGGTATATCGCCGTGCTGCTTGGTAGAGGCTTCCATCAGGTCCCTCTCGGGATCGGGATTCTGTGACACTGGCAAGTGTGCGTTCTCACCTACCGACCAAACCCCATCGTCACTTTCTCGCTTCCGCCGGTTGCTCCTCGACAATCCAACTCCCGGCCAACCAACCCTTCCATTTAATGTACGCGGGAGCTATCAGAGCTACCCCCGACCCTTGGAAGCTTGTTGGCCTCGCCTCGTTAAGCTGCCGCGAGCTTACTCACCGAACGTTACGAAATAAGTGCAAGCCTTTATAAACGATCGAATCTCACGCTCTCGTTGTCGAAGAAATACTCATGGCAACGACACGTTATAAGCAGAACTTGTTTATGCGAAGCCGAGATGAAAATTAATCGCTTCGTAAATATTTATTTGCGCGCATAGCTCAGTGGCCGATAACTTTTGCCGTCGACTCGTCGAACCAGTGACCAGTTCGATAAAAGACCTCGACGCTTAACCCTAAATTACCCAATAAGAAAGTCATGCGCGCCATTATCCTACTTAAATAAGCTGCCCGGCGAGACGCCTTATGCCCCCCATGATTAGTTATGAAGTTATATTGGCCAGGCAATCGAGGACTACAACGAATAACCTAAGCACGTGTCTTTTATTATTATATATAAGGTGGCTGCATTCACTCACCTTATCTAATCGAAGCTTTCCGCTATTTATAGCTGAAAAGTAATTATCGTAATAGAAAGAAGAAAGGAAATCCAAAGAAGAAAAGGAGAGGAAAAAAATGCACGAGTTGGCCCAGAAAGGCCCCCCCGGTTATTAAACATACGTCATACATCTGCGCATCGTATAAGCGCCAGATTTTTCCCTTTGGCGGGGGCCGAGGTTTTAAAACGCTCCCTCCTCCGAATAATTACTTTTTGCATAAGAAGCGGAAAGTTATCGATGCGCGGGCGCGTGGAAATTAATCGCGAGGCCTGCGGTAGGAAGAATCGCCAGGATAAGGGGGCGAGAGATTTACCGTCGGGCTCGGGACTGGCGACGGGCGAAATGTCGGGTGTGTGAATGATCGGCGTGTACGGGCTCCCGTAGAGCGAATTGTTCTCCGATTTGTAGTCCTGCATGCCAGGCTGTTGCTGCTGCTGCTGCTGTTGCTGCTGCTGCTGATGCTGTTGCTGCTGTTGCTGCTGTTGCTGCTGTTGCTGCTGCTGTTGCTGCTGCTGTTGCTGCTGCTGTTGCTGCTGCTGGTGATAAAGCGACGAGATCGGTGAGTGGCCTCCCCATGGCATCTGGGGGATGCCCTGGTAGTTGTCTATTTTGGACCTAAGATGATGAAATCATTCAACATTGTTTCACTCGACGGGGACAAGTAAATTATTGTACTCTCGATAAATTATTTTAATGGTCCTTCAGAGTGACTTTCTTTTATTATATACCGTAGTCGATGCTTCGTTACTTTTCTTTTATTCTATTAAAGATTAAAAGATTGTAAATTATATTCCATTTTACTACCTCAAAGGCTGTTATACAATATTTATTGTAAAAACCATTGCAAGCGTTTATTTATATCTATGTGCTCCGGTCACTCGATACTTTCTGCAATTGTAACTTTAACAGCGCTTTTACATTTGACGAATAGGAATTTTTAAGCTATCGGCCGACTCTTTATAATCCAAGGAACCGAATGAATCTTCGCCACATTGAAAAGTGCCTCCCCAATGGGCGCGTATTATACGAATTTTATATAGTGATTTGAGCTTAAGTAAATCTTGCCACCATTTTCCGCAACTCTATAAATAAAAGAATATTTCTGATCATACACATACGGTAAAATTACATTATACTTTTTAAACGAAAAAGGTGAAAACTCCACGTCCATTAAAATAATATTATAAATTAATATTATTAGATATTTCCAGTTGAAAGTCACATACGTATAGTATGAAAATGTATTATTTCAAGTTTTAATATATTCTCTAGTCAAAGCAGTATTCGCATTATAAACAATGTGCATTCCCGTATGTTTCGTGTCTAGTTATTCCTGTTGTTCCCACACCTAATTACAAATGTTTATTACATTGTTTTATGAATTCGAAATTTATACTATCATTAAGAAGATCATTATTAGAAAATATTTAATACAAACTACAAAGTTTTTGCAACGACATAAAATTGAAACGCATATTTAGCAAAATTGTATTCATTAATTTATATGAGCACCACAAGTATATAAGATTTATAATTTCAAATTTCAAATTTGTGTATAATAGCGAAGCTACGTAAACTATGATATTAAACTCAAAGTTTAATATCTTTAATATTTTTATTATCGTTTTCATTTATAAAGTAAAGTATATTAAATTCGAATGAATTTATGCGTTAATAAACTTTTCTCTCAATTGTATTTATAATTAAGAAATTATATTGTTTTGCAAAATTAACATTAGATCGTGAATAAATAAATTGAAAATTGTTATTTATTATAATTAATAGAATTCTACGTAAATAAAAATCATTTCCTTTCTCTACAAAAGAAATATTTGTATCCGTAAATAAAGCCTCGAGCGGAATTCTTGCATCTTGAGAAGAAGCTTCTTGCGATTAAAAGTAATAGTTTCCTGGACATATTAATAATTGTGTTGACTCTTTTGAAAGTCGACTGAAAATCAAAATATTCTTGCTGAAAGATATGAAAAAGGGTCATTTACGTTGAGAGTACAAAATAAAAGAAGGTAAAGGAAAGAGGAGGCTCGGAAAGAGAGATAAAAAACACGACGGGGAATCAAAAAGGAGATGAAGGATGAGGTTGAGGGGGAGTAGGAGTGGAAAGAGAAGGGTGAGGTGAAAGAGAAGGAGGAGGTGTAGGAGGCGGTGGTGGGGAAGAAAAGGAGGAAGGTGAAAAAGACGCTCCTCCATAGCTGGACTTACATGGTATGATGGATGGTGGTACCAGTGGGGTTCGGCCTATTGCCCGGGGTATTTGTCGCGGAGGGGGGCGAGGACGGTGCCCCCGGTGCCCGTTTGGCGTGTTTCCGTCTGCGTGGCCGGTACTTGTAGTTCGGATGTTCCTGCATGTGTATGACCCTTAACCTCTCGGCTTCCTCGACGTACGGTCGCCTGTCCTGCGGTGTAAGGCCTCGCCACTTTTTTCCTGGAAAAAAAGAATGGGTTCTCGTGAGTTTTACCGTGTCCTAGTCGTTCTTTCACGTTCTTTACTTGCATTTACTTTTTGTCCTACTACGATTATTTTTATCGCAACGACTTTTTATTATCAATCAACATGCGATCCATATTTAGCGCTGAGATTACCTTACCAATTTTTTTCCGGCTGGATTGCTTGCATGAAAAAAGAAATTGAAACATATATTATATTATTTTTGTAAAATTCCTTTAAAATTATATAATTTATGGCATAGTTGATTGTATAAGCATGAAAAATTAAGCCTTCCATAGAAATTTTAATCGGCAAGAATACTGGATGTAATTAAAGAATGATCAATGAATATTCAATGATAAAATTGAAAAATTTCTAAACATCCACGTATTTTTATAGGCTTTATAGAAATATGAAATAAAATTTATCATTGATTTATAAGTACTCCAAATTATATATATTTCAATTTAAAAATAAATTTTTGCTTAAATTTTTAGTTGTATGTTTTCTTAGATTATACAACTATAAATGGTTTTTTTCGTTTTTGCTATGCATTGTAGTTGCTATATATTTGAAAATGTGTATTGCAATGCATATAACACTATACAAATGCGCATTTTTTATTTCAATTAGCTTTTTAATTTATTTGATTGTATTAAGTGGAATATGAATATTAGTTATTTTAATGTTAATGAAAGAATTTCATACATGATTCTACAAATCTACAAAGTTTACAAAAAAAAATTTCTTAAAGTAAAATTCCCGCGGAATACAAATTAATAATAGCATCTCATCCACGTATCTAATACTGCATATCCTCGTTGATAGACGTTTTACGAGCGGCAACATTAAAAAAAAAAAAAAAAAAAAAAAAAAAAT